CAAATGGCAAAACTGGAACTGGAACTCAGGTCTGACTGCTCAGAGTCCACACTTACAATCTCAACCCTAGCCAACCTTCCAGTGTCTTCCACGACGTGCCCAGCACCTGACTCAACACCTGGGCACTCCTCCAGATGAGATTCAGTCCAGACTCTAAGACCCTGGGGGCTGAGAAACAACTACCATCACTGAGTCTTACCCTGCAATTCAACAGCATTAGTTATTTACCTGGAGAAGGGCAAAACCTGTAACCCCATGCTACCCACATGCTACCCTCATGACCTGGAAAGTCTTGGTTACAAGGCATGTGATAGAGTTAAGCTGAGCATGTATGTGAGGGCTACTAGGATCACCTGGGAGTTTTTTAAACTCACCACCAATTAAACTGCAATATCTAAGCTTAAAAGCCAGACATCAGTGTGGCTTTAAAGATTTCCTCAAGGGAATCCAATATACAGCACAGTTTGGGAGCCACTGAGCTCTTATAATGTGCACCACACCCCCACGGAGCAGGAAAAATTATCTTAGGAACTTTAGGGTGCAACTGACCCAACTCTGCAGCAGCAGACGCTTTCCTCTGAAAAACAGCCACTTGCTTTGTTAGCTCCAACTCCTAACCATGGAAAATTCAAATAGCTCCTCTTAGATCTTCCCTAGCAAATTAGATTGACAAATTGCTCTTTGATGTGATTAAGGTTTCACAAAACCCGGGTCTAATTCATGTTGGCATCAGAAGCAAAACAGAAACAAACTTTCTAGAAGAAAAATAAAGTATTATAAACAATGTAGGAAACACTACTAGGTTGTTCTAATTTTGTCAGCATATTAGAAACACCATTAGAGGGACTGGGGTGGTGACTCAGTGGTAGAGCGCTCGCCTAGCATGCATGAGGTACTGGGTTCGATCCTCAGCACCACATAAATATAAAATAAAGAGTGTGTCCACCTAAAACTAAAAAATAATAATTTTTTTAAAAAAAGAAAACACCATTAGAAAAGAAAGTCCAAAGAAGATACTCTCGTTTTCATAAATACCACAGAGTTCCACTTTGACACTACTCTCGTGATCCTCCCTAGACATTTTCAGAAAGGAAATCTAAGCAGAGACTAATAGGCAAAAATTGTTGGTTTTGGAAGACCAAGTCAGTTGAATATTTGCGATTTCTTACTGCCCTGCCTAAATAAAAAGCAATATAGAATCTATAATGAACTAAAACTAGCTATAAATAAAAACAAAACTAAGCCTCTCTGAGAACTACAAACATGATAACATATGGCCCAGACACTGCCAGAACCTTCTACCAACTGCCTTTCCACAATCACCGAGAAAATCCTATATTTATGTTGACAAAACACTGGGCATGTTACTGGGGGAGATCCACAATAAGTGACAAAGGGGAGGCAGAATGTGTGCAGGGAGCCAGCTCACCTTGGAAGTCAAATCAGAGAAAGACAAATCCTCTCCCACAAACCTTCCTTTGGACTGACTCTAAAGAAAGTGAAGACTAGCAGTTTTATCCAGAACAAGAAGTCTAGCCAAGCTGACTCCGCTGGGCAAGATGTCCGCTCCACTTAAGGAGCATCCGAAACCAGCGCCAGCAGGCTCCGTGACTACTTTGGCTTTACCTGGCGATCAGAACAAGCCAAACCATCATCAAAATCCACTCCTCAGAAGCCAGTCTAACACAGAAACCATCATGGTTCTCTAACCTGGACCCAGAGTCAGGGAATTCACAGCCGATTAAGCAAAAGGCCTTGGGGATGAGGGGATCTCTGTGCCCCACGTTTTATAAAACGAAGCAGGATGGCAAGACCATCCTGAGTGCTGAGACCGTTGTCTGCCTCCCAGGAGTGCACACCTTCAGCATTCAGCCTCAGTTCTACCCCAGCCTAAGCCAAGGTCGGGGCTGTTCTTCCTCCATCACAGCCACCTCTTACCCAGTCTGGCCCCCTCCTGTGCTCAAGCCAGGTAAGTAACCCTTTGAGGCCTGGGGATGGACAAGCCCCCTCTTCTGTGTCCCAGTGAAGAAGTAAAGGTGGGAAGCAGGCCACCAGTCCCAGTGTAAAAATGACAGCAAACCTGCTGGAAATGTGACTAGTGACTGACAGAGACTTTCTAAAATGAGTGAGTACAATGTTAAAACACTACTGCCGTGAGAAGCCAGGGTCCTTACCACCATTCTGTTGGAAAACAGCCTGTGTTGCATGCTCCCTTTATTTGGTAAAAATTCTGAGACTCGATCCAGAGACCTGAGGAACCTCCACAGACGTCTATGGACTGTTTTAAGGAACCACCACCCTGGAGCCACTGACCCAAATAAAAGAAATCTTCTCTTCATGGAATCCTCAAGTTAAACAGAAAAAAAATCAGAGATCAAGCAGGAATATAAAATGGTACAGCTGATGGGGCAGTTCCTCAAAAAAATTAAAAATAGGCCTATCACATGATCCAGCAATGCCACTTCTGAGTATAGATCCAAAAGAAATGAATTCAGGAACTTAAAGAGAAACCTATGGGTACACCCATGTTCACAACAGCACTGTTCACAACAGCCCAAAGATGGAAACAACCCCAATGCCCGTCACCAGATGAATGGATGAGCACAACGACACTGTGTTCAATATAATTACAGGAATTAAATTTGTGACATATGCTACAATATGGGTAAACCTGGAAGATGTCACGCTACCTGAAGTGCTCCATTAACATGAGTAGTCTACAGCATTCCAACAGGCACAGAGCAGAACAGGGACGGCTGGGGAGCAGGAGGACCTGCAGTTACTGGGTATGGTTTCAGTTTGGGAAGATGACAAGGTTCTGGAGGTGGATGGTGGCGATGGCTGCATAGCAAGGACCATGATTCACGTCAATGAACCATGTGTACACTTAACAAATTAAAATGGTATATCTGATGTCATGCATATTTTACCATAATAAAAAAGGGATCAAATGCCAAAAGTAGTTGTACCAAAACTGTGGAAAGGTAAATAAATGGCAAGTCATTTTTCATGTGATACATCCCAGAAGATCATTCAATACAACGAACTAGGACAGTGATCTCAGCAGTCATTCCATCTGTAACACTCAGCCAGATTTCTCCCAGGACCAGGGATTAGAGGGTGGGGCCTGGGCTTAAACTGCAAGGGCAGAAGGGCCTCTCCCAGCCGCTCGGCAGCACCACCCGCGCCCAAGGAAGCAGCCCTCTTGCACAGCAAGTCTCCAGACCCAAGGCAAGCAAGAGGGAACCCTCCTTTCTCACGTTTATAGAATTTCAGGGCTTAACCTGAAATTTATAGGGCTTAACCATGAGTAATTCTTGACTTGGTAAAGAGACTATTCTTCTAGGATAATCTAGCTAGCAAATGAATACCTCTGGGAGCTGCTTACCTTCAGGATCAGATTTCCCAAAGGCTACTTCCAAAGCCTCAGTGGAAAGAGGAAGAAAAAACAGGTGAACAGTAACTCACCTGTGCAAGAGCTCTGTTAGGCTAAACTGGTACCTCACACCTGACTCCAGCGACTAGGGTGTCCACAGTAGGTGCTCACTCAATTCCTCATGTATTTACTGGAACTAAGCATGAGCTAGAAAGATGAACCGTGAGCCCACTGATAGTTGAGTATTCTTCTGAATGGCAGAAGGGAGTGGAATAGACTGTCAATGACAATGACAGTGATGACCACAGGACAATGAAGAAGTCAAGCTCATTGGTAAACACTTATAACCCCAGCAGCTCAGGAGGCTGAGGTAGGAGGATCAAGTTCAAGGCCAGCCTTAGCAACATAGCAAGGCCCTAAGTAACTTAGTGAGAATCTGTCTCAAAATAAAAAATAATAATAAAAAAAGGGCTAGGGATGTGCACAGTTGTCAAGCACCCCTGGGTTCAATCCCCAATACCAAAAATAATAATAATAATAATAATACAATGAAGGCCCCTCGATTAGAGCATCTGCACACTGTTCCCATTTCCAGGCACCGACATGGATACTGGGTATATTTTTTGATCCCACCATCAGGCATAAGATCCCACCACCAGCCACCAGCACTCACACAACTCCAAGCCTGAAAAGACTACCCGGGGCAGACGTGGAGAGGACACTGTGCATGCCTCTGAGAAAAAAATTCACAATACCCAGAAGCTCTACTTTAAATTGCTGTATTCATCTTTAAATGAGGATTTTAAAAAATAAAAACACAAAAGCAAATGGACCAGGGCAAAGAGATACTCAGGCTGGAGTTTATAAAAGTGGTGACTCCTTTATAAAGACAACTGAAATCCTACCCCCTTTAAAACAACCACGGCCAGGGCAAACTGTGGGATTTTATGGGACTTCTCAATACAAAAAGCACCATGCACATCAAATAAGGCCTTATCATAAAAACTGCAGTAAAAGGAAAACAAACAATCTAAATGGCCAGTGACAGGAAAAACTATAAAAGTTCTCTTCAAAACGACTAAAAGACTCTTAATATTGAAAGTGCTCTTCCGACCAGTTTCCTTAAATACCATAAAACAGCCATAATTAGCTTTCACTGTTTGTCTTTAAACAGGATTCCATTTATATTTTCTTTAGTTGACAAAATTATATTGGATGTAATCACATGGTTCATTTTAGAAAATATAATTCCCACTCTCAAAGACATTCTTTCCTCCTAGATTTAAGATCAGAGATGCACTTTTCCTGAAGTTCACTTTTAAAGAAAATTAATTTTGAGGCGAATGAAAATTTGAATGAGACTTCCATAAATACAACTATGAGATTTAGTTAGGAAAAGACAAAGTTGTTCATTGGATATTAACTTTTTGCCTAGATTTCATTATAAGTTCTGTATTCTGTATCAGCCTGGTATTACAAGCAGCCATGACCTAACAGCAATAGAAAACTTCCATTGTACCTTAAATGATTCTACTTATGTAAATTTTTAATTTTCATAAAACCTTCCCAAAATGCTTCTAATGCCTCAGGTGAAGCACACGTTTCAACGCTGAATGTCACTTACCTTCCGATAAATCATGTGGCACATGGCTACTCTCAACCTCATGCCGGCGCACTGGACATGATAAAAATACAAGTGGTGCAAGATGGCCAGAATGAGCGTGCAGACCGTGAGCACCGTGGCATAGCCATAAGCTGCGTACAAGGCCACGGAGTCGGTGGGATCATAATTTTCAAAATAATTAATAACTTTCCCCAAAAATAAAGGCTGAATTACTTTGGTGCCTTCCTATAAGAAAAAAAAAAAAAAAAGCCTTCATTAGAAACACAAACCACACCAATCTTTCTCCACACAAGCTTTACTTTTATTAGCATGTTAAAAAAACGTTTTGACAAAGTGCGACATTCATCCCTAACCTAAAAGGAACACAGAACGGCTTTCTTCTCTAAGACAGCAGCTGACAGTTTAACCTGAAGTCAAAATTACAAGTTCAAAGACAATCAAGCTTTGGTACACCGAGCTCGGTAAACTGTGGATGCTCATAAATATTATAACCAGTGATTTAAAACGCATTTGGCAAAGTATCAAAAAAAGGTCTTGGCTTACAATGAAAAGGGGAAAAGGTGGCCAAAAAGGAAATGGGAAAGGGACCTGCCTAGCAATGGACAGCCCAGCTCCTGGTGTGCCTGCCACTCCCACTAAACCCCAGCAGCCAGCCCATGGGCAAGGCCATCTCCTGCTCGCCCTGTCTGCATCAACTCACAAACTGGCAGGAACCCAGATGAAGCCTCCCATCTTGCTCAGCCCAAATAACATGTGTCAGGAGATCCAAGAGAAAAGGGTCCAACTTTTCTTGGAAATATAGAAAGGAGCCAGGCTTTCCAGGTTCCCCAGCTCTTGGACCCCAAGGGGTGCAGCTTCCATATGGCTCTACCCACTGGAAACTCAGAGGTACTGCCACCTCCACTCAGGCAGGTAGAGTCAAAAGTTAAACCAGCACAAGTCAAGGTAAAGGATACTGTCAGCCTTATATTGTAGGTGCCAGTTTCAAAGAAATATTATCATGTCCTATCCAAGGCAAAAATTAAAATCCTACCCCACTGAGCTCCTGGACCTCCCAGACAGAGAGAGAGAAATAAATTTCTAAAAGCAGAGAAACAGCAAAGCCACGTTGAGCCCTGATGCACGGAGGCCCGAGAGTTTTCCTTGACCTGCTCATTGCGCCTCTCCCAGCCAGATGGCCACTGCACCCCACAATCTACTTCCCCCCACCAAACACCTTGTAAGGGCCCCCCATCAAAGAAAAATCAAACACTGCAAATCCAAGTCACCTAAAGTAAACACGCAGCCCTCCATATCATTTCCTCCTGGCTTCTCAAAAGACAAAATGCCACAAGTTTGGAAATCTTCCAAGAACTTGACTAGGAAACAAGCACTTCCTTTCATGCAACCCGTCCTTATTAACACAGACATGGCAGACAACTGTCGGGTTTGCTTTTCACAGCTGTTTTTCTGTCTATCTGAAGTGAAGAACCCACACAGAAAAGGGAGGGAGAATCAAAACAAAAAGAAACAACTCTAACACACATTTTCCTCCCAACCAACCAGTGCCGGGTCACAACATTTATAGAAGACATCTCTGTCCCTCCAATGGGCCATGACATTAAATCCCACATTCCTGTCCTGCTGTGTACACACACAGCACGCACAAACGCTGACTTCACCAGCCCCGCTGTCTTCCATGAGTCATGGAGGTTTCTGTCTAGGATGCACAAGTAAGGAAAAGCTACTTGAAGAATGAGGAGTGAGAGGACCAGATATTCAGAAGGCAGAGGCCGGCGGCTGCATTGCCAGCAAACCCATCTTTCAACTCTAGAGGGACTGAGAGCCCTCACATGGTGGGGCCCAAAGACTATCATAGTATAGGGACAAAACTTCACAGATGCACACAGAGAGGCAAAGAGGCCAAGCTGTACACACACAGGAGTGGTTGAGGGCAGGCTAGGCCAGCAGCATTTACACCTGAGCCATCCACCAGAAGCAGAAACTTCTGCCATCCCAAACTTGCCTGAAACCTCTCAGGCAATCCACAGCTCACTGTTGCACAGTTCTGATGCAGGTGTGATTCAAACAGAAAATAAGAGCAATGTCCCCCAGCAGACAAAATAATGAATAAAGCAGAAAAGGGTACAAAAGAAAGTAGGTCACTATTACCCATCTATCTAAATTTTCCTACTGAGAGAGAGCATGTAACCATCAAGTTGAGCAAACAGGCTCATTAATAAGTGAGTCTTATTTGTGGCCCACACCTGCCCCCTCTCCCTCGGACCTGTCCATCCCTGATCCTAACCCTCAACTGCTAAGAAATAAACAACTGGGAAAAATACTCTTTCTCATACTTGCAATATAGCAAATTAAAACTTTCTGGCTATCAGATCAAAATTCATACAAATCTTTTATCTTGGACAAGAATCTGTGACCTATAGAAGAATCTCCCCACAATCCAACAAAGAACGTAGTCTTTATTTCTACACAAGAATTTCTCAAATGTGAAATTCACATGAGACTTTAAGAATCCAACACGATCCCTCGAGGCCCCAATCACTCAAGGTTCTGCGCACTCTCCACATATTCAGAGGCAGGCATTTCTCAAAGGAATATCTGGCACTGGGTCTCCTTAAAACTCTGTCATTTGGGTCATGTGCCTGGCTTTGTAGAGTAACTTATCATAGGCTTGACAGGACACATCCCCAGTGGATAAGGGGCTCCCCCATGATCCCCAAGGACTTGAGACATTCCTTGCCCAATTCCACCATCCCTGATCCATGAGAAGGAAAGAAAACACAAGAAACAGAAACAAGCTACCAAAGAAAATCACATTTGAGTAAAAAACAGAAGAAAAGAGTGAGCTTTATGGGGAAAATGAATAGGCTGTTAATTTAGACACAAGGGAATAGGTAATAGGAAGAGTAGAGAAAGATCCAGAATGAAAAAGGTATACAGTGAACCTGGGGATCTTACAACACCAAGATCCCAGAGATAGCTGAAGTCATCTTTAAATCGGGGTCTTGAGCCTGACTACAAGTGAGAATCACCAGGGAGGTTTAAGACGGGCAGAACCCACTGAAGCCCAGAACCCACTAAGTCCCAGATTTAGATTCCGCTGATGGGGCAGGACCTGAGTTCCCCCTCCCTGGAAGGTTCTGGAGTACAAAAACCAACCTCAGGTAAGCACTGCTATCCTCCTGTCCCGCCCCATCCCCACATCTGAGTCTAGAGGGGTCCAGATACTTGCTGCGCAGAACTTAAAAACCACAGAGGGGTTTTAATCAGGGCTGCTGGCACACATCATCCATCCCCTCACAAAAATCCACAGGAACCCAGAGTCCTGAGGTTTCAACTTTGAAACAAAGACTCTTCATTTTCGCAGTAGGGAGAATTCAATGTTCAAAAAAGACTGTATTTGCAAAATTAAACAATGAATCATAATTTGCTATTAAAGTTAGGTCTAAAAGGACAGAGGGAACAGAGTGGAACCAGGGACAAGGACAGCAGCCTTCTTTAAAAACAACCTCTTTGGAGTCTGGGATTGTAGCTCAGTGGTGAAGTGCTTGCCTCACACGCGTGAGGCCCTGGGTTCCATCCTCAACACCACATAAAAATAAATAAATAAAAATAAAGATATTCTGTCCATCTACAACTAAAAAAAAATTTAAAAAAATAACCTCTTTGGTATACTTGAGTTTGGAACCAAGAAAATATTATACAGAATTACAAAATAATATAAACTTTCAAAAGGCCATTTCTTAAACTTTAGAGTAAAATGAAGCAAATGTATACCCATTCAGTTGTTGTTTAAATAAAAAAAAGTACTATTGATAGTAATTTTACACAAAATGATTTGAAAATACATTCCCTGCAGAATATACCTACCCAAGTACAAAACAAACTACATATATATATCTTTCAGAAACCCTATTAATAGATGACAGTATTGAAGTATTGATACTATAAGATAAAACAAATTATTATATTGATATTGAGAACTGCATTAGGCATAGGAGAAAACAGAAGAGGAGAAAAAAGAGAAATAGATGAAGAATAAAGAGATCACATAAAAATACTAGTGTCCTGAATGATTTAGAAATACTCACATAAACCTATGATATGATTGTCTCTAAATATATATACTTATTTTCTATAAGAAACAACAACCCGGGCTGGGGATGTGGCTCAAGCGGTAGCGCGCTCTCCTGGCAAGCGTGTGGCCCGGGTTCGATCCTCAGCACCACATACAAACAAAGATGTTGTGTCCGCCGAAAAAATTAAAAAATGAATAATAAAAAACTCTCTCTCTCTTTCTCTCTCTCTTTAAAAAAAAAAAAAGAAAGAAACAACAACCCAGTACTAGAAATGCTCAGACGAGTCTCCAAATACTGCTTCCCCTAAAAGTGGTTGTGACAGTTTGAAGAAATGGCTGTTTCCACAGCTGGGGCAAAAACTCTTCAGGATGTGCTGGAACACCTCATCACATCAGAAAGAGGAAACTAGCAAGGTCTGCTGGAGTAGGTGCGAAAGACCCTGGACCTCACCTCCAGCTCTCAAAGTCAGAGATGGCCAAAGTGTAGCAGACAGATGGTAACTACAAGGGACTGAAGCACATCAGAAATGTTTAAATCCATGAACCCATAAGGATGCTCCTCAAAACAAACAACAAAACCTCATCAGCCCCAGGAGAATGCTAGAGAACCACTTGTTATTTTAAAGGAAAAAAAAAAGTAAGAAAATTAAGAGTTAATCAAAAAGTTGATAATAATCTAATTTTTCTTTATGGAAATATTCCAGCTAATAAATGAAGAAGTAATTGGAATATCACCATTCTAAAATCCCCTAATGAATGGATGGGTCTTAACCGATGATCACAAACAGTTGACTACACACACAAAAAAAGACAACCACACCTTAGATACCTGGTAGTGGTGAAACACAGCCCTGCGATGAAGTAACAGACCTGCCAAACGCAAAGAAACAAACTCAACACCGGTCAGAGCAAGCTTCTAGTCTAACTACCAACTCCTGGCACCAAAGGAACATGTCAAATGATGGGAAGGGAGACGCAGTCCACCCAACCCAGACTGTAGGAATGAATCTCTGCAAGACAAACACCGCAGTTTCTTCAATTAAAGGGGGAAAAAAATAGTAAAAAAGGAGAAAGACAGGAACCAATACAACCTATATCAATCAGAAACCCATTATAATATCAATTCAAACTGTATACACGCCTGTAA